TACTTCCACTTTTACCAGAGTATTTTTTAACACAAGTATCTGTACTTTTACTCAAGTACGGAAAGTGAGTACTTTTGCCATCTCTGCTTATTTGACATTCTGTGTTTAAGTTTGGAGAAATGTATATAAAACAAATTTAGATCCATTGATTACACTGCAGAAAAGAGCTATTAGAATAATAAATGGAGTTGGACACCGTGATTATACAAGTCAGCTGTTTATAAGATCACAAACATTAACATTTCTGGACGTTGTATATTTAAAAACATTGGAAATGATGTTAGGAGTGGTAAATAAGACCATCTCTGTTTGTATTAAAAAAATGTTTAAGCTAAGGCAGGGGATTTATAACTTAACTAATGTTTGAAACTTAAAAATCCAGAACTAATGTCAAATACAGATGTGTGTCTGTTTTGGGTGCAGAATTATGGAATGCACTTAATGATGAAATAAAGATGTGTAACTCTGTATAAGTTTTTAAGAAGACTTTAAAATGTAAACGTACAAAAGGTTACAATGAAATTTGACTGAGTTTGATTTTTCAGTATTATTGTTTTGTAATTATGTATTAGTACCAATGTTTTCTGGTGAATTATTGTTATGATGATACAGGATAGGCAAAAATAAGCCTTGGGGCTTCAGCGTATACCTTTTTCGGTTACTTTGTGGTGGATTCTCTTGTAAAAAATATTATTTTATTTTTTGTTTTTAAACCGTAGTAAAGTAATAATTCATTCATAATCATTAGTTCATTCAATACTTTATATATTTTAATGCTCTGAACTTCAATATTGATGTATTTTTTTGTATTTTTTTCCTCCCACACTGCTTACATTTTATCACTGCTGCACTTTATGGAATGCAAATGTTCATTTATTGTCTGGAAAGCTGGTACTAAATGACTTTTTGATTTGTATACAGTCTGTTTGTACAAAATGACAATAAAAGTTGTCTAAATCTAATCAAGGTTGGACATCTAATATTTAGTCCTCCTGCCTAAATCTTTCATTTCCCTCATTTTCAAAATGCATATAATCTAATTATTTTTTCCCTCCTATAATAATGGTAATTATCACAGCTTAGATTTTTCACATCATGTATTTGTTGTGGTGTTTTACTTTCTGAATAAAGTTTGGTTCAAAATCAACTGCTCTGTTTCTTTATATATATATATATATATATATATATAT